CAAACTTAGCATAAAAGTACACACATTTCCCTCTTTCTTTGGGTCTTTATTTCTGAAGGCTCCTGTGACATGCAAAACTTACATAAATTCGCATGCCTTTCTCATGTGTGAGAGGAAAATAAATCTCAGGACATTCAAATCACTTAGCCAAAGGGAAAGTCAAGCTGAGGACTGTGTCAGGCAAACCTGCCTCCCATTCTATTCCTATATATGTAGCTACAAAGACTGGAAAAAAGCTACATACCTCCCTCACAAGGAAATTCCTTGTGGACAAAGGAGAGACAGAACTTAGTCATCCCTCTGCTCACATGAGACAAATGCCTATCTGATTTCTGCCCTTGCCGTACTTTTTCACTAAACCAGACTAAGGCATAAGTGATTATTCCTGTAAATTGTTTATTGAGTGAAAGGCTAATCAAAAACTAAAAAGATTGCAACTTTTTGTGTCTTATCTACCTGTGACCTGGAGGTCCCCTCCCTCCTTCAAGTGGTCCCGCCTTTCTGTAACAAACCAATGTACATATATTACATACATAAATTGATGTCTGAGTCTGTGTCATGGGTGCATCATTAATGTTGAAAAATAAACTTTCTAAGTGGACTGAGACCTATCTTAGATATTTTGAGTTCACACTTGTTAATGTGTCTTTTGTTATAGGCATCTCAACCATCAACCTAGTGATAAGTGAAGAAAGAAATCTTTTCTCCCCTACATTTGCATGCCCCTCTGAAGGCTGGAAAAAATCCAAAATTATGGTGAATTATCTAATTTATAATATGTATCTCTTCTAGGCTCTTAATGCTGCCCCCAAAAACTTCTATTTTCATGATTTTTCATTTTCTTACCCTCCTAAAAAAACCGGTTATTTTATGCTTTTCTAATCTAAACAAACTTGCCAAGGAACCCCAACACCAAGGTTACCCATCTGCTGTGTGTTCTGCCTCCCTTCACATTTTCATGGTTGGACTACTGTGTTCCTGCTTTGGTCGAATGTTATGTCCCCCCAAAATTCACATGTTTAAATCTAACTCCTAAAGTGATGGTATTAGGAGGTGGAATCTTTTAGAATTGATTAGTTCATGAGGCCAGAACCCTAAAAAATTAAATTAGTACCCTTTTAAAAGAAACACAAGACAGCTCCCTCAACCCTTCTTCCATGTTAAGTTAATAGCAAAAAGATGGCCAACTTTGAAGCCAGAAATGAACCCTCACCAAGCAGCGAAACTGCTGATGCCTTGATCTCAGATATCAGCCTCCAGAATTGTAAGAAATAAATTACTGTTGTTGATAAGCCATCCAATCTATGGTATTTTCTTATAACTGCCTGAATGGACTATGACAGTTCCTAACTAATGCAAAGTCCTCAATCCTTGTGCTTGAAAACTAGCGCAGTGATTCTCCCTTTACTCTCTTCCGTTAGCAAATTTTACTCTCCACTAGATCACTGTCAACAAAATAAAAAACATGCTACACTTCCTTGACTCCATATTTTTTTTTCCACCTATACCATTGTTACAGGAAAGGGGTCCCCATCCAGACCCCCAAGAGAGGATTCTTGGATCTTATACAAGAAAAAATTAAGGGTGAGTCCACAGTGCAAATCAAAAGCAAGTTTATTAAGAAAGTAAAGTGGTGAAAGAACAGCTACTCCATAGACAGAGCAGGACATTTCCTAAAGTAAGAGGAGGAACATGTCTGCCCTAGTACAATGATTGTTTATATACAGGATAAAAAAGATCATGGGGGGATGTGCTCTGCTACAAGGGTTTGTGATAAAGGATTAATTTTCTTAATTACTGTATTTTGCAAGAATCAATATTGTTGTCTTTAAAGCAAAATTAGGAAAACCTTTGTTCTCAACATATCCTGATATTGGAACACTCCCAAGTCTGGGTCTGTTGAGTAAACATTATCAATCTCTTCCTTTAACCATAAACATCAAGAGACTAGGAATGCCTAACTTTCCAGGCATGTGGCCCTAGCAAGTCCCAGCCTCATTTTACTAGCCCTCACTCAAGGTGGAGTCACTCTGGTTCAAATGCCTCTGACACCACCACATATCCCCAATTTATTACATCTCATTTTATTTCAAATGCCTTCTAATCCAGCTTTTGCTTATACTAATCTTCTAAAATGGTTTTGTTAAGATCATCAATGACTTCCACATTGCTAAATCCAGTAGTCAATTTTCTGTTCTCCTTTTCTTTACCCATTACCAGCAGTTGATACAGTTGATTACTTCCTCTTTGAAATGTTTTATCCACTTGGCCTCTGGTTATAAGATTCACTTGTTTTTCTATTATTTTTTTGGCCACTCCTCCTTGGTCTCCTTCTATAATTGTACCTTTTATCCCAGTTTCTAAAGGTAGGAGTGCCTCAAAAGTCTTAGAGCTTTTCTGTACTCTACATGCAATCCCCTAGTAATTTCATCTAGGATGAATCCAAAATTTATATTCTCAGGTCAGAGTTCTCCAACATACTCTGGATATAACTGCTATGTTCTGCTATGACATTTATTTTGGGAATGCAAATTTGTATCAAAGTAATTAATATTATGACATTTTGTGATTGGTATTAATTTGAGTATAATGCTATTTTCAGATTTGCTTTTATTTATGCTAATTGTGTTCCACTATGAGAATATGTAGGTATATTTCTTAGGAGCAGGGATTTTAATTTTGGTTTACTTATCTAGCTGCTGTTTGCTTTTGTTTTGTTTGTTTGTTTCATAAATATTTGTAAATGAATGAAAAAGTGGATTCAGGAGATGTGAAGTTCATGGGGATTACATGCAAAAATGTTTGTATACATTTAACTTTCTGTAGAGAAGGATAATAATTTTCTTCAGATGTTGAAAAGGTCCTTAATCATCCACACAAACCAGATTAATAATATAATTCTAGCAATAACCCAATAGGTCATTTTTTGAGCATCAGTATTAGCCCATTTTACTTAAAATGTTTATATAGTGGTTATAATGCTGAAATATTGTGCCCATTTGTAGATTTGTTATGTCAGACAATTGAAATATGCCAATGTGCTAACAAGGTTTGAAGGAGGTAAATCTCATACATTGGCCTGAAAACCAAATCATCACAAATATGAACCACAAAAAGATCATATATATGAATTTTGAATAATAAACCCCATTGTTTAAAAAATGGATTTTAGCATGCATAACGACAGTATTGCTAACATTTTTGGTCTCAGAAAAGCAACCTATCATTTATAATTCTATTATATAATGTTAGCATTTCGCAGTATACTCTTTGGGGCTTCTTTTCATGCATAATAGCATAATAGCTATTGCTTTTAGATGAACAGGTATTGTGAAGTTGTTAACCTTCTTTTGTTCTCTGAAAGTTTAAAGTTTTATATGGAATACCAACAGAATTTTCTGAAGTATAAAATATAAAAACTAAAGAAACAGCAAAACAGTTTACAGAAAAAATAAAATTAATGTTTAAAAAATATTTGCAGAAATGATATTTATTATTCACAAAACTATTTAGAACTTTATTTATACCTTCTTTGTTCTTATTTTGCAAAGTGCCATGTTTGGTTGCCCAGAGTGACTGCTACAGGTAGACACACTGACAACAGTAAGGCGAAAACCTAGTGTAGGTAGGAAAGAATGGAAACTATATAGAGACTAACTTAGATATATAAAAAGGAGAGCAATATGAGGCTATTTGTATGGTAACAAATAGCTGTAAGTGGCTCAAATTGTTCACAAGGTCATGGTTTTACGGTCACTATAATAAAATCATAAGAAGTATTGAGGGGGGAAATAAATGGAGTAATCTCTAATCCAGGCAGTAAGAAACAATCCAGGTAAAGAAAAAAAAGGAGGCGCTGGGTGCGGTGCCTCACGCCTGTAATCCCAGTACTTCTGGAAGCCAAGGCAAGCAGATTGTCTGAGCTCAGGAATTCGTGACCAGCCCGGGCAACATAGTGAAACCCCGTCTCTACTGAAATACAAATAATAGCCGGGCATGGTGGCCTGTGCCTGTAGTCCCAGCTAGTTGGGAGGCTAAGGCAGGAGAATTACTTGAACCTGGGAGGCAGAGGTTGCAGTTAGCGGAGATCACACCACTGCACTCCAGCCTGGGCAACAGAGAGTGAGGTTCCATATCAAAAGGAAAAAAAAAAAAAGAGAGAGAGAGAAAGATTAAATTTTCAGCTATTGGAAATATTTGGCTTTTTAGAATGATCCATTTTCAAAGGATTACTGTTTCAGCTCTACAGTTAAAATATTGACTTTTTCATTGAGAAGTAGTTGTCCACAAATGACTCATTAAAGATCTGTTTAGGAAGATGTGTGACTCAAAGAGGAGGCGGGTGAAATCTTTAATCACAATACTGACCTTTGTATTTGGTTAATGAAGACAAATTAGGAGCCTAATTGAAAGATTTGTATGTAGATGAAGGGGAAATGAAGGTAATTATTAGGGTGGGGTGAGAATTCTTCTGAGAGAGATATAATCAAACATGAAGGAACTGAAATAGAGATTCAGAAATAATTGCCTGGTTTCTTCTTTATCATCTTCGATCTAAGTTCTGAGCCAATATCTCAGTCAAATGGAATGGGGCCCATACCACACAGAAACCAGCTCCAAAAGAGAAACTTCTGGACCAGTCTTGTTTGAACTGATTGACTGTTACGTACAATGTTAAAAAAAAAATGGATCATTGAACTATATTATTCTATATGAGACCTGTAAATAATAACAGAAACTTAGAATTATAAATCTCTTTGATAAAATAGATGGGCCATCCTTTAAAATCTGATATTCTCCTTTATGCTTACACATAAGTGCATCTCATTTTTGTCAACTGAAAGCTAAAATTCTTCCAGGCCCTTCCCAGGATCACTCTCTCCAGGAAGGACAGCATTGCCATAGCTAGTAAGATCACTGATGACTTCATCCATTCCTTGTTGAAAATTAGTTGAACAATGTTTCATTGGTAAAATTACTATAATTCAAAGGAAAATTACCTTTAAGGTTGTTTTGAACTTCTAAAGCTATATCAATTGCATTAAAGGGCAGAACAGGTTCGTTGGCAATTTGCAAAATCACTTCTCCTGAGAGCTGAAAGAAAAAAAGGAAAAAGAAAATACTAGCATTCAGTAATCAGGAGTTTTCATTTGTTTGTTTTTCATTATTTCAGGTATTTTTATACATCTAGAGGAGCAAAACCACACAGGAATAATATAGTTTTATAAAATCTCTTTTTCTTTTAAACCTTTATTTAATTTTATCTTTCTATAAAGAAAAAGTCCTCAGCTCTTTTTCATGTCTCAGAATAGCATAAAGAAATATATCATTCCTTTTGTGAGCTGAAATATTAAGAAATGGCTTCCCTAATTGAAAGAGTTGTAATATTTAGACTTTAAATAATTCCTTACAGTTCATAATATCACATGATCAAACAAACAGTAGAGAGGAGCACCTGAAAATCAATGCCTGGTTATTGGACTAAGGAAAACTTCAGACAAAATTAACGATCGATCTATTTTATTTGATAACCTACAGGCCACATTTGGCAGTTTACTTTGAAGGTAAACAGGCTTCCAAGTTAACTTGTTTTGTGATTTATGGTAACATCCTGTCACTGAGTAAAGAATTTTTTTCTGAGTTCCCCAAATTACATACTGATGAATGCATAACCTAATGACATTGAAAAGGATGCTGATTTGTTTTTGAATTGTGAAGTTTTGCTGATTTGTTTCAGAATCAGGAAGTTTTGCCAATTGTCTTGTATGTAGACATTGTAACCTGGATGTTGATATTTGTAGCCAGTGATTGTAACCTCTATATTATACCCTCCAGTATAAAGAACAACTCTGATATGAGGAGTCTTCCTCCTTTCTTCTAAACTTCCTTAGGAAAGCCTCCCAACCTGTAACAGACTCTTTGTTGATGTGTCTTCATGGGTAGATCTTCACATTTGGCTTCCAATAACCCTTCTTCAAAATCTTAGATACGATTTTCCTTCATGCTTTTATTCTATTCCTAATTGCTGTTTTAATTTTTATAACTTTCTATAATTGAAACTAATAGTATTAATACATCTTTGAGATCAATGCTTAAAATAAATACAAATTTTAAAAGACATCCCCAAAGCTCATATCTGTAATTTTTATACATGCATAATTCCCCCATGACCCCACCCCAAAACTGTCTGAATATTGACACATACACTACAGCTGAACTAGCATCTGCTTAACAGGCTGAACAAGTCATAAGCATTCATACACATCTCAAAGGACCTTAGGGCTGACAGAAAGTGCCATTGTTACCTCTCTCTCTCTCTCTCTCTCTCTCTCTCATAAGTGATATTTAATATTTACCTGGGCTTAACGAATGTCCCTACATCTCTCATAACCCTGAAGGCAGCACACAGGGAAATGTGACCGTGTTGATATTATTAATGCAGTATGAAATGTGGTTAGTGAATGAAAAACATTGTCTTGTGAAACTACACAGGGGAAATTAGCACACTAACTTGAGACACAATGCATAAAAGATATAATTTACAAGGAAATTATTCTGTTACATATCCAAATATGTATATTCAACAAGGTGCAAATTCCATTTAAATTTTGATATGGTTTGGCTCCGTGTCCCCACCCAAATTTCATCTTGTAGCTCCCATAATTCCCATGTGTTATAGGAGGGACCTGGTAATAGATGACTGAATCATGGGGTATATCTTTCCCATGCTGTTCTTGTGATAGTGAATGTGTCTCACAAGATCTGATGGTGTTAAAAATGGGAGTTTCCCTGCTTTCTTTTTTCCTGCTACCATCCTTGAAAGATGTGACTTGCTCCTCCTTGTATTCCGCCATGATGGTGAGCCTTCCCCAGCCACGTGAAACTGTGAGTTTTCCATTAAACCTCTTTCCTTTGTAAATTGCCCGGTCTTCAGTATGTCTTTATCAGCAGCATGAAAACAGACTAATACAATAAATAGGTACCAGGAATGGGGCACTGCTGAAAAGATACCTGAAAATGTGGAAGCAACTTTGGAACTGGGAAATAGGCAGATGTTGGAACAGTTTGGAGGGCTGAGAAAAAGACAGGAAAATGTGGGAAAGTTTGCAACTCCGTAGAGATTTGTTGAATGACTTTGACCAAAATGCTGACAATTATAGAGAAAATGAAATCCAGGGTGAGGTGGTCTCAGATAAAGATAAGGAACTTGTTGGGAACTGGAGCAAAGGTGACTCTTGTTATGTTCCAACAAAGAGATTGGTGGCATTTTGCCTCTGTCCTAGAGATTTGTGGAACTTTGAATTTGAGAGAGATGATTTAACGTATCTGGTAGAAGAAATTTCTAAGCAACAAAGGATTCAAGAGATGACTTGAGTGTTGATAAAGGCATTCAGTTTTAAAAGGGAAACAGACCATAAAAGTATGGAAAATTTGCAGCCTGACAATGCGATAGAAAAGAAAATGCCATTTTCTATGGAGAAATTAAAGGCAGCTAGAGAAATTTGCTCAAGTAAAAAGGAGCCAAATGTTAAATCATCAAGACAATGGGGAAAATGTCTACAGGGCATGTCAGAGACCTTTGTGTGCAGCCCCTCCCATCACAAGCCTGGAGGTTTTGGAGGAAAAAATAGTTTTGTTGGCCAGGCCCAGGGGCCCTCTGCTGTGTTCAGTCTGGGGACTTGGTGCTCTGAGTCCCAGCTACTCCATTCTTGACTAAAAGGGGCCAAGGAACAACTCAGGATGTTGCTTCAGAGGGTGGAAGCCTCAAGTCTTGGTAGCTTCCACATGGTATTGGTCCTGTGGGTACACAGAAGTCAAGAATTGTGGTTTGGAACCTCTGCCTAAATTTCACAAGGTGTATGGAAATGCCTGGATGCCCAAGCAAAAATGTTTGCAGGGGTGAGGCCATCATGGAGAACCTCTACTAGGGCAGTGCAAAAAAGAAATGTGGGGTCACAGCCCCCACAGAGTCCCTACTGGGGCACCACCTAGTGGAGCTGTGAGAAGAGGGCCACCATCCTCAGACTCCAGAATGGTAGATCCACCGGCAGCTTGCACTGTGTACCTGAAAAAGTCACAGATGCTCAACACTAGCTGGTAAAAGCAGCCAGAAGGGGGGCTATACCCTGCAAAGCCACATGGGCGGAGCTTCCCAAGGCCGTGAGAACCCACATCTTGCATCAGCATAACCTGGATGTGAGATATGGAGTCAAAGGAGATCATTTTAGAACTTTAACACTTGACTGCCCTGCTGGATTTTGGACTTGCATGGAGCCTGTAGACCCTCTGTTTTGGTCAATTTCTCCCATTTGTAGTGGCTGTATTTACCCAATGCCTGTACCTCCATCGTATCTAAGAAGTAACTAACTTGCTTTTGATTTTACAGGCTCATAGATGGAAGGGACTTGCCTTGTCTCAGATGAGACTTTGGACTGTGGACTTTTGAGTTAATGCTGAAATGAGTTAAGACTTTGGGGAACTGTTGGGAAGGCATGTTTGGTTTTGAAATGTGAAGATACCAGATTTGGGAGGGGCCGGGGTGCAATGATATGGGTTGGCTCTGTGTTCCCACCCAAATCTCGTCTTGTAGCTCCCATACTTCCCACATGTTGTGGGAAGGACCCAGTAGGAGATGACTGAATCTTGGGGGCGGGTCTTTCCCATGCTGTTCTTGTGATAGGGAATGGGTCTCATGAGATCTGATGATGTTAAAAACAAGAGTTTTCCTATACAAGCTCTCTCTTTTCCTACTGCCATCCATGTAAGATGTAACTTGCTCCACCTCGCCTTCCGACATGATTATGAGGCTTCCCCAGCCTCATGGAACTGTGAGTTCTCCATTAAATCTCTTTCCTTTGTAAATTGCCCAGTCATCAGTATGCTTTTTTTTTTTTTTTTTTTTGAGATGAAGTCTCGCTCAGTCACCAGGCTGGGGTGCAGTGGTGCAATCTGGGCTCACTGCAAGCTCCACCTCCCTGATTCACACCATTCTCCTGCCTCAGCCTCCCAAGTAGCTAGGACTACAGGTGCCTACCACCATGCCCGGCTAATATTTTTGTACTTTTTTTTTAGTAGATACGGGGTTTCACCATGTTAGCCAGGATGGTCTCGATCTCCTGACCTTGTGAGCCACCTTCCTTGGCCTCCCAAAGTGCTGGGATTACAGGCGTGAGCCACTGCGCCCAGCCCGCTATGCCTTTATCAGCAGTGTGAAAATGAACTAATACAATATTAAAAGTTATATTTCCCAATTGTTTGCACAATTCAAGTCATAAAAATACAATTCAATTTGATCTTCTTCTATATGCTTGGGAAAATGTATTTATTAGAAATAAAGAGAAGAAAGAACCCCTTTTTAATTTTTATTTTAAGTTCTGGGGTACATGTGCAGGATATGCGGGTTTGTTACACAGGTAAATGTGTACGATGGTGGTTTGCTGCACTTATCAACCCATCATCTAGGTATTAAGCCCCACGTGCATTAGCTATTTTTCCTAATGCTCTCCCTCCTGCCACCCTACCCCCCTACCAGACCCCAGTGTGTGTTATTCCCCTCCTGCATCCATGTGTTCTCACTGAAGAACCACTTTTGATAATCTTTTATTCCTTTGTTTTCTCCCAAATGTAGCAACCAATTTCTAACATACCTTTGCAGAGACTTATCCTCAATATTGGGGTGCTGAAAAAGTAATCTACCACATGAGACTTTGACATACTGAGCTAAAGAAAGAGCCTCAAGGTCTCTCTGCCCTTGCTTGCCCCGTACCCTCCCAACACTTCTGTCTCTCTCAAAGCAAAAGATGAGGATGTTCTCTGAAGTTCTCTTATCCATCTAAAAACTGTGAACCTCCAAAGAGGAACACAATTACCTTTCATCCTTTCTTGGAAATCTCATTGTCAATGAGGGATGCAACCACACCTGGATGGACTTTTTCAAAAAGATAGTGTTGCCTCTAAGGATGATTCAAATACTAAAGAGAATCATTTACAAATTAATTTTGTCTCCCAGGTCCATTTATTATCCCTAATAATAATTTACCATTCATGAGAAGAATGGTCTAAATTCCCAATCTCTCTCTCTGCTTTACAATAAA